TTATATAATTTCCATGAACTTAAAATATAAACTTTGAGGGCCAAAATTTAACAGTTCTAGGTCTCTATGATTCACTCCACCCACCCTCAAAATGATCCTCTGTACATTCCTCCTATGCAGCCCCATTTCCTTCAGGGACCCAACATAGTTGTCAGAGTCTAGGAATTAGTTTTGTTAGTTTTTGCCAATTTCCAACTCCTTTTTGAACATTTGGCTCTCAATAAAACTCACTCTTATATGTAGAATCCTATTTTCAACTACATAGAACATTTTATACCACTGACATTGAGCTATGTTCCAGAAGTGTCAATGTTTCAGAAAAAACACATTCTCACTATATGGCAATTAAATGAGAAATAAATAATTGGACAGAGCTCAGGCTGCGGAAAACCTCCACACTCCATAATCGCCACCATGCTCCTCCTAGCTGGACCCTATTGCTCAGATGATCTTCATCCAGATATTAATTTGTTGAGAAACTCAGGTATGTGGGTTTTGTGACTGAAATCTCTCACTTCCAAGGGGACAAGGATGGGCCACTGTATGTTGGAAGCTCTGTGGTCACGCCCACCAACCACCTTTGGCGCCATGACTATGATCCTGAGACTCCAAAATAAATCTGAGAAGACATCTACAAGTATCAGAAATTCTTCTGGATCCTGCACAAGGCTGAGTCATCCCCGGGTCAACCCAGAAGGTGGATGGGTAAACCCTGGAGTCTGCCCAAGCAGAGCCCTAGAGCCACCAGTCAGTTAAGAACTGAACTCCAGCTGTATTACCACATTAGAAATTTTGGACACCCTGGAGTGCCGGGGCTATGATTTGGCCACATCACATTCCAAACTCTGGAACAATGATAAACAGCAGCATACCAGATTGAATGGGATGTAAACGAGAAGGCAACCAATCTCGATCAACAAAATGTAGACACAGAAGGCTTACCCTGCAACCATGTCTTAGTAATCTCTTATACAAGGGTTCTGTGGTGAAATACAGCTATCTTCACTAAATAGGGAAACATCCTTTTAGCAAATTATTTATAAAAAGCAATATAAAATAAGTTATTAAGGGCCTGCTATGGGGAAAGGCCCAAGGTTTGGTTGGGAAAATTGGAAATAATGGTGGTGGGAAGGTGCACTGGTGGTGGGATTGATGCTGGAATATTGAATGTCTGCAACTAATGACTTAATAAAGTTGTTTTGAAAAAATAAATAATTAAAAGAATATGTTTGAGAGTCAGAGAGGTAGTACAGATGTTAGAGTGCATGCCTTGCACATGGCTGAGCCAGGCTCAATCCTCAGCACTGATACGATCTCCCCCCACCCCCTAGCAATGCCAAGAGTGACCCCTGAGCACAGAGCCATATCAGTGCTACAGGATATGGTTCCAAAGCAAAAACAAAACAAAGAATATTTTTGAAAACAGAATTTTTGAAACTTAATACTTAAAAGGAAATCACATGAAAAATGCAACATTCAAGACTGCCCCTAAGGAAAAAATATCACCAAGGAATAAGAACTAGCACATACCAATTGGGGGTGGGGGGATTGCCGTTATAATAATGTATAAAAGGTAATCTATAGCCCTAAAGTATATTTATTTTAAAAACAAGAAATATTGGAAACAAACTGTTGAGTTCAACATTTAATTTAAAAACCTAGAAAAAAAAGTAGAATACAATCTAATAACATAGAGCATTTGGTCAAATACACAACCTATACTCATAATAAGGTAAAATTTGAACATAAGGAGAAATGGACAAATTCAGAACTATAATAAATCTCCACCACAAAGTGGAAAATCAATCTCATTAAAAGCAACGAGGCTGCAGAATAAACACAAGACACCAAGAACCTAGCTTAATCCCCACTTGAGAGGAGCCCTATTCTTCCTGTTTAGTTCCACTGGAGCCAGCAACCAGCCCCAACTGATTATTCTCGACCCGGAGACAGAAGTTCTGCTCCAGCTCCTTCACCGCTGGGTAGTTCTATTCTGGTTTGGTCCTCAGAGTGTCTTGCCCTGTTTTGTGTGTGTGTGTGTGTGTGTGTGTGTGTGTGTGTGTGTTGCTTAATTATTTTATTTTTTCTTTTTTTTAAATTTATAACTATCCTTTTATATTTCATATCACTGTTCTATATCTGAAACAGATACTATATTAAGGCAGTAATTCACTGTTACCTTGACCAGAAGTAATATTTTAAATGTTTTTAAATTTGTTTTAATTTTAAAACAGCTGATATGTGTGTATGTATATATATACACATATATACATATATATATATAAAACATATCCCAATTAAGAAATACTGAGTAAACAGATACTACTGGAGCAATAGCACAGTGGGGTAAGGCGTTTGCCTTGCGCGCAGCCAACCTGGTCGGCCCAGGTTTGATTTCTCCGCCCCTCTTGGAGAGCCAGGCAAGCTATCGAGAGTATCTCGCCCGCACGGCAAAGCCTGGCAAGCTACCCATGACGTATTCTATATGCCAAACACAGTAACAATAAGTCTCACAATGGAGACATTACTGGGCCCGCTTGAGCAAATTGATGAACAACGGGAGGACAGTTCTACAGTGCTACAGAGGACACAGATAAATTATACATATATTTAATGTATCTTATTTGGGTCCCCAACAGATGTTAATTAAACAGAAAAATTTCTGTATATTAGCTGCTTAAACTGACCAACCATCAACTCTATCACCTAAAGGAATATTTATCATTTTTTTCCAGATTTATTTTTTTGTAAATTTTACTGAATCACCGTGAGATAGTTACAAGCTTTCATGTTTGGGTTACAATCACACAATGATCAAATACCCATCCCTCCACCAGTGCACATTCCCCACCACCAATATCCCCAGTATACCCCCTCTTTACCACCCACCCCCCTGTCTCCATGGCAGACATGATTCCCCATAATCTCTCTCTACTTTTTTGTCTTCAAAATAACATTGAATCCCTTCCCCTTAACTAACCTCTGCTCAACAGCCTTTTGGCTCCTCCACAAACTGAAGTATTCCATATTCCTTGTTTGGTTTGTTTTACTTGGGGTAGGAAACACCTGGGGTGCTTCCAAGTTGCTTCCAGCACAGTGCTCAGAGAGCCAGTTTAGGGAGTACCAAGGACCATGCAGTGCTGAATATCAAACTCACTCACAAAACATGCTCTCAGCACTTTGAGACATCTTTCCAGCCCCATCTATATGAGGTCTTTAAAAAAAATCATCCCAACAGGGCCTGCATTGTCTTAGACATTCAGAAAAGAAAAAAAATTATTTTCATTTTCTATGACTCCAAAATTTTTTAGTTGACATTTGACTTTTTATGTAATTTTTATTATTATTGAGAAATAATTTTATAGATCACTGTTTAAGCTGAACAGCATGATGGTTTGATTTATGTATACTGAAAAATGACAATGAAGATAGGTATGGCCAATGTCCTCTCATATAGATACAATTTAAAAAAAGGAAAAACATTTTCCTTGTGATGAGAGCACTTGGAGTTTAAAGTTCTTCACAATTCCCCTTTATATCATACAGCAATATTGTCATCAATATTATATGTTACATCCCTGGCAGTTATTTATCTAGTAATTAAGATACTTAAAACTTTCCTGCCTAGATTAGAATCTTTTTGTCTCATCCTCATCTACCATCTACCATAGATCATTTCCCCCAAGAAAGGCAAATCCTGAAAGGCTGCCAAATTCCTGCTCTCTGACGATTGAAAATTTCTTCTAAGAAGTCTTGCCTGACTAAGCTACACAGACTTCCTTTTTATCACAGACTTCTTTTATATCTACATCTATATATTAGATTATAGTTTATCAGTCTCCATAAAAAGTGTTTGTTCTCATGGGGCTGGAGAGATAGCACAGGAGGTAAGGCGTTTGTCTTACACATAACCGACCCAGGTTCAATTCCCAGCATCCCATATGGCCCCCCAAGCACTGCCAGGAGTAATTCCTGAGTACATAAGCCAGGAAGAACCCCTGTGCATCACCGGTTGTGGCCTAAAAAGGGAAAAAAATGTTCTCTGGGACCTAGGATAGTGGGTAGGGCATCCCATATGGTCCCCACCCCCCAAAGCAGCACCAGGAGTAATTCTTGAGTGCAGTGCCAGGAGTAACCCCTGAGCATCAGAAAGCATGTGTCCCCTGCCCCCCCAAAATAGTTCTCAGACTAGAGTATATGTTTGCACACCAAGGGGAAGGAGAACACAGAATGAAATGGAAACAGCTTTTGCTTCAGAGTTAGCAGAACCACATTTACATCCCAGTTTCATTATTCTGCATCCCTGAGAAAGTAACTTAGTCGGAGTCTCCCTTAGCAATAAATTGGGGATGATGAAGCCTAATTAAATCACAGCAAGAACAAAATGAAACAATATATACATAAAAGTCTGATGCAGTGGCCAGCCTAGAGGTGTTTCTCAAAATACAATTTCCTCTTTCTTGCCATATATATATATATATATATATATATATATATATATAAAATTTTCTTTTTGGTCACACCCGGCAATGCTCAGGAGTTACTCCTGGCTCTGCATGCAGGAATTACTCCTGGCGGTGCTCAGGGGACCATATGGGATGCTGGGAATTGAACCCAGATTAACAATGTGCAAGGCAAACACCCTACCTTCTGCACTATCGCTTCAGCCCGCTTCCAGATATTTTTTGGTTTATTTTCCTATGGAACTATAAACCACTTTAGCATTATGAGTTTCCTATTGAAAGCACAAATTCTGCGTTCCTACGTAACTGATATTTAGATGTATGATGAAGAGGTGATACCAGCTTCCTCCTAGCTGCTCTGTCAACACTCCCAAAGAGTTCTTTGCCCGCCAAAGAAACATCAATTTCAAAAGGCCCATATTTTTATTACACACAGCACACAGGAAGCAGTATTTTGATACAAGAACAAAGTGCACTACCCAAGGGAGAAGGTTATAAGTGGAGACACAAGTTCCTTAACTGGAGGTCCCAACTCACCTGCCAGAACCAGCTCCCTTGAAGAATAATAAAGCTTGACCACAGAAGCTCCAGAATTAGAGTATGGGACCGTGAGAAGAACTCCAGAAAGGTAATCAAGGCAGTCAAAAAGATGATCAAGACCAGAAGCTGATGCACAAAGATGTCCAGCATTTCCCGGCCATGAGTATGGTTGTAGAAGATAAAAGCTGATGGGGAAGGAAGGATATACATTGTCTTTAGTAATTCTCATTTTTTAATCATGGTGACATGATTTACAATAGTATTAACATTCATGTTTTAAGCATAGAACATTATTGCACCATGTCTACCGCACTTCCCTCCACCACCATATCTGGGTAATTCTAGTCTGTCTCCTATTATTTTCTTTGGGTGAGGGGAAACCTTCCAGGTAGTGTTTAAAGGGCCTGAGGGGCCATTCCCAGTGATAGTCAACTTTGTCCAATGGTTCAAATGCTAGGGCCCACAGATGCACAGCTGCTTGGGCCTGTGGCACTGGGAACCACCAGAGTCAGCTCCATGCAGTGTCAAGGTTCTAACTTGGATCCTGTGGATGCAAAGCATGAACCCGTGGCTGCTAAACTCTCTCCCTAACACCAAGTTAAAAAAATTTTTTTTAAATAAAACCAACACTAAGGTAAGGTAAAGGTAAAGGCCCTCCCGTTGATCGTCGATTTGCTCGAGCGGGCCCAGTAACGTCTCCATTGGAGACTTTGTTGTTACTGTGTCTGGCATATCGAATACTCTCGGTAGCTTGCCGGACTCTCCGAGAGGGGCGGAGGAATCGAACCCGGGTCGGCCATGTTGGCCGCTTGTAAGGCGAACGCCCTACTGCTGTACTAGTACCAAATATCTCTGTCTCTCTTCCCTACCCTCCCATTCTGCCCTTCCCTCTGACCTCCAGATAAACACAAAATTTTATATGCACATATTTTTCCAAATGGTTTGGACAAAGCTTGCTGTTTTCCACTAGCTCTTTAGAATGGAGTCTTCAAAATCCGACACCTCTTTTCCTTTCCCTAACCTTTATTCTGTCGCTGACACATTTTGTCACTTTCAACTAAGTTCAAAAGATCTTTGCACAGAAGGATGAATATGAACATGACAAGAAGAGGAATAGTTAGGGAGAATACAGAGATGAATGAGACCAAACCTGCCTTAAGGAAATTAGTCTATCAGAGCAAACACACATAGATAAATCTTAAGAGTGGACTTTGATAGGTTTGACAGGCTTGCCATGGAAAATCCCAAGAAGTACTAACTTGCTACATTTTTTTTAATTCATGAACAGAGTCCAATGTTATCTTTATCCTTTTCATTTAGATGCAAAAGAAAATGTTCATTCAGGAATGGAGAGCTAGTGCAGCGGGTAGGGTGCTTGCCTTGCATGTGACTGACAGGGGTTCAATCCCTGGCACTGCATATAATTCCCTGAGCCCCACCAGGACTCATCTCTGAGCACAGAGTCAGGAGTAGGCCCTGAGCACACAGGCTGTTCCTCTCAAAACACACACAAACACAAACATACACACACAAATATTCAAAATACTAGCCTGTGAAACAAAAATCATGCCACCGTTATTTGTTGACACACAGCTTCATTTAGCTCTAACCTTCAAAGAAGATTAGCAAAAAGGTGCTCTATTTTTTTTTATTTCTCACAATTTTAAGGCATGGTTTATTCATTTCTCTTCACCCCCCCCCATGGTAAAATTTGATGGTTTACTCAAAATTACATTAAGCTTCTAGCTCAAGTCCTACCCCAACAACAAAACGGGGTTCTTATCTTCAAATATAGGAAGCAAGGTGATCAGTTAGGAATTAACTGCTCTTGATAATATGGGGCTTTTAAAAATAATCAGTCTAATTCATACATCTGCAATAAATGAAAGCGAATATTAAACACTTTCCCTCAGTGTTTCCACTTATAGAAATAGGGATATCAACTAAAAAATGTTTTTCTTTCCTCAACCTCTCAAAAATAAACTAAACTTCTTATGTTTCTGTGACTGAATTTTTTGGACTCTGCCATGTAGTAGTCTGATTCTATTATTTTAATATGAAGAAGGCTAATTAGTAAATGGTGGAAGCTACTCATCTCTGAGCAGTCACCTCATTTAAAAATATTCATGTTTCAGCTAAGCAGACAGTTCAGTGCCTGCAGCACCTGCTTGCACTTAAGAGACTGGGGTTCAATCCCTGGTATCACATGCTTCCCTGAGCACTACCAGGACAGACCCCCATCACTAAGCCAGGAGTGGCCTGAAAACAAAAGTAAATTACAAAAAGATATTCATGCTTTACTGTTCTGTGCTGTTCCACTTGTTAAACACTGACATGCCAAGAATCTCCATATAACTGAGAGATAGCCACGATCGATGGTTCTAGCATCCATCCAAGTCACCATGAATCAAATAGAGGAGCTATTAAACAGGTTTGCATCCAAGACTAAGGGAATATTATTAGAAATATATAACAGCAGGGAAAATACTCAGTCATACTTACCCTCCACAAATAAGCCGTTTGACAACATTAACTTGGGTAACGAACTTGGAAGTGAAGAAAAAGTAAAGCATAAAATTTTGGCCACACCCAGCAGTCCAAAGAAGAAATACATGGTGGAATGATGCCAGCCTAGGAGTTCAACCCAATGTCCCTCTTTATAGTTATATAGAGACAGGTGGGGCCCTTCGGGTGTGAACTGTTCTCCAAGCATGCCTGTAGAGAAAAATAGCAGTTTTTAGAACCCTCTTCATGACTGTACTAGGAAAGTGAAATATGTAGGAAGATTAGCTTACTCTCAGTTCAGTCTAGCATCTTGATAACACTGATTCTTCTCTCTGGAAAAACCAGAGAGATCTTAATAACCATGCACTGATGCTTTGGACTTTGGTCTGAATAGTTATGCACTGGTGCTTCAGACTTGTTAAAGAGTTTCAAACACTGGTTTGGATAAACACTTTTAGTCAGAAACAACCATCAAAGCTTCTTCAGATCTTCAGAATGATGGCTTTAGTTTCACTTACATAAACGGTCCCATTCATGATCTTAGTTCCTATTTTAATGTAAACACTAGATGAATTCTGAATGAACTAAGGTTGAAGTTTGTGAACTCCAGTCCAGAGGGTGATTAATTCCCTCTTATAAATAATAGTTTTTTCTTTTCACCTTAGTGCTCTATAGGCATTAAAAGGCTACTGGTCTAGTCAGTTACACAACTAAGCTTTCTTTAAAATGATGCTTTATTTGTTAATCCACAGAATTTGACTAGTAACTTCTCCTCCTTGGATTTTGCAATTTGATGGCCACAGCAAGATTTATTGCCATGAGCAAAGAATGAAAAAAAAATTCAAAGAGAAATTGCGAAGTCTTGTCTTTTATAACAGAAAGGTTTAGATGGAACTCTAAGAACACAAAACACTTGTATAGAATCTTCATCATCAATATAAAGGCTTTAGACATCATCAGACCTGACCTCCCTCTCCCATTTTGGAACTACACAAATGATGAGGCAAGATCTTCCTCAGACCAGAGCCCTTTGCACAGGAGATCTACAATGCTTTCTTTTTTTTCAGTTTTTTTTTTTGGGGGGGGGGAAGGGGTTGATATAGAGGGTCCATATCCAATGATGTTCAGGGCTTATTCCTGGCCTTCACTCAGGAATCACTTCTGGTAGTGTACACCAAAAACTAATACAAGACTGTATGTCAATTAAATAAAGAGAATTCCTCTTAGAAATTTCTTGATTTGATATTATACCTTCTCCGTGCAAAAGGAGGAAGCAAGTCCCAGAAAAGTTCCACTCACCAGTGACAGCCATGACGACTATTGTTATGCCTTCCACAAATTCTATTCGATGGAATAATGCTTTGGAATGAAAGTAGGAAGTCCGTTTCTGCCTTTTGCAAATATACTTCAGAATGTTCTTTGTACTCCACCAAATACCCATGACAAAGAAGAAGGTCCCAGGAAGGGCATGGCCTCTGAAACTCCCCATGTCTGCTAAAATAAGAACATACAGAAAATAGAGAAATTTCATTTTCAGAACTTAGCCCAAATATTACTTTTCCCATAGAGAATGCTACCTTCTGATGGATGGTCTACCAATTCTGAGAATCTGATAGTACTTTCAAGAGTAGAAGATTTCATTACAAAATCAAAAAGACTAAAGAGAGAAAAGCATTCATTTACATTCACACTTGCTTTTGTACTAGGCCAGGTATCAAGTGTTTTACTTACTACATCTAGTTTTTACAACATATCCCTGAATGAAGACTTATTATCTCATTTTTAAATTGGGATCCAGGTTTATAGAAATTAAATGGCTTACCAAACCTCACCATTATTAAGGAAAAATCTCAGAGCTTTTTTTAAATTTTATTTTACTTTATTTGAATCTCAAGGCCACACTCAGTGGTGCCCAGAGGCTGTTCCTAGTTCTGTGTTCAGAGGTAACTCCTAGAGGTGCTCAGGTGCCAGGGACAGAACCAGGCTTGACGTATGCAGCCATGTGCAAGAGTGTATGTCTTAACCACAGTATGATCTCCCCAAAGGCCATACTGGAAATGAGTGTGGAGGTGTGCTAGGCGGTACACAGGCTTTGAAACCACTTCTGTTTGCGCTTGGGGATTGCTCCCAGAGGTGCACAGCAAACCATGTGGTAGCAAGGAACAAACCAGTGTTGGCTACATGCAAGGTAAAAACCTTAACCCTTGTACTATACAGGGAGCTCAAAAATATTTCTTTAAAAGACCGTATATACTCCACAGTAAATTATATCTGAAAGAAAGAAAAAGATTTGCCTTTAAGTTTAAACTTCAGATCATTTGAATTTGCCTACAATTTTTAGGAAATGATTTCAAAGTATCCACCATCCAATGTAAGAAAAGAAATCCATTAGAGTTCATCAAATATCTGTCCTCCATTTACCTCCCACCTGCCCTTCCAGCTGAATGGCAACCATGCTTCTAGTTCTGCCCAATGGACTATGGCATTTGTCATTTTAAAACGGAGTCAGCCAATCATCTCCGTGACTCCTTTAACTCTTCTCCTGCATTTGACTACCTTGCAGAGTGTATCTGCAACATAGAAAACGAACAACCAGGTTGCTTCCAGTTTTGCAAGAGGTTTTAGTGCACAAGTTTATTGTTTTGTCATTGAAATTTTGGATATTAACCTATTCAGATGGATGTCAAATCAAATTGCAAGTTTGGCTTACACAATTGTTACCAGAATAGGGCAATAAACACAAATCTCTTCTATTTGGGGCACCAGAGAGATCATTGAAGTGGTAAAGAATTTGTCTGGGTTCAATCTCCAGCCCCAATAGTCCCCTCACACACATATCCTCACTCTTTCCCTCTCCTTCCCCCGAACCTCTGCCCCCCCACCACCTCCTTTTTTAACTGAGTCACCTTGAGATATACAGCTACAATGCTACTCATGGCTACTCATGACGGGTTTCAGTCAGACCCTGTTTCAACATCCATCCCTCCACCGGTGTACATTCCTTACCAACAGTGACCTCAGTTTCCCTCCTGTCATCCCAGTTTCAGCCCCAGCCTGCCTCTATGGTAGGTACTTTTCTTCTTCTTCTCTCTCTCTCTTTCTCTCTTCCTCACTCACTTTTTCTCCTTCATGCTCGCTCCTAATTTTTCAGTTGGTGCTATAGAAAATCAGTGTCGAATTACTTGAATTTTGAACTTCATGAGTAACACTTTGTTCAAACATTGTTCAGCATCATCCCTGTGTTTATGGCCAATAGATAAACTGTGAAAAGAGTAAGTCTCCTGGTCCAGATGCGTTGTTCATCCCTCTCCTTTACACTATCCTTTCACACTCCCCAGGCTTACTGCAAGGCTTCAAGTGGGATCTGTGAATCCAATACTTAGCACTCCAATACTAAGTCTGATTGAGACCTAAGATGAACCTTTCAGCACACTCCAGTATACAACCTCTACACCATCCAAGAAACTGACTATCAAGTCATGCTAACTGCGGGTTCTTGTCCTAACTCTGACATTAATTAGTGGTATTGCTTGGGACATGTCCCTTAATCTCTCTGAAACTTAACTCTTTGTGTGTGTGTGTTGGGGATAGGAAGCTGGTATTGGGACACATCCAGAGGTACTCAGGGGCTAATCCTAGCTCTTTGCTCAGGGAAAAATCCTGGCAGTGCTCAGGGAACCATATGCAAAGCAGGGAAATAAACCAGGCTTGGCCACATGTAAGGCAAGTATTTGAACCCCTGTATTCTCTATCTTTCTGGCCCTAAGCCTTCATTTGTAATACAAGAAAATGGCCTAAAATAATAAAGTTCTCCCTTTCTCTAACTTAACATTTTGTGATTCATTACCTTAATTGCCATCAGTATCACTGAGTTCTGTTTGTCTTAACTTAGATAACTATTGAGTATTGAAAGCATGTATCTGCACTACAAGTTGATAAGGAACATTAGTGTTTTATATTCCTACTACAGGAAATCCACTTTCAGGAATTCTAAATATAATAACTGTAAATACAGATACCAAAAACTTAAGAAAATAACCAAATTTTGCAGGAACTAAAAAATAAAAATTTTAAATAATGAGTGATAGAAGACATTTATTGGAAAGAACAGAATTTTTTAAGACCAAGATGAGACATTTGAATCAGACTGATAGGCTCTGAATCTCAAATTTGTCATTTACAAATTGAGTGACTTTGGGCCAGTTACTTCGCTTTTCAGTGTCTCAGTTTACTCCTCTGTGAAACAGCACAAAAAACAGTATCTATTTCATAAAACTAAAATAAGCTACTCCAAAGCAGTAACCTACAATACTATTAAACAAGTTCATGCCATCCTCAATTCACCACAAACTGTAAAAGTAAAACAAGGTGAGGACCAGACAGATTGCCTTGATCACAGGAGACCCAAGTTCAATCCCTGGCACTGCATATGGTCCCCAAGCACCACTAATAGTGATCCCTGAGCACAATGTTAACTCTGAGCCCCCGTCCCAACCCCGACTCTTTCACCTTCATACACACAAGTAAGTAAATAAAAATGAGAGGTTCTATTTGCATATCAACAACAGATAAGCAAGAAGCATCTTATTCAATTCACTGGGCAATCATGTAACATTTCTCCTGCTATTGAAATGGAAGATTACTAGAACCTTCCAAATGTTTTTTTTATATTCCTTGACTTCAATGAGAGAAGAAGATCTTAAAACTCAGAGATTATAAATCTATTCTTTTTGTTCTCCATTGAACCTTGATAACACCATTTACACTGTGAGGTTCTAGTAATAAGAGTAAATGAGTAAAAAAGCTTTCATTATAACAAAAGATGGTGCTTTCATAAAATATCTCTGAGCAATAGCACAGCATATAGGGCGTTTGCCTTGCACGCAGCAAACAAAGCCAACCTGAGTTCGATTCTTCCGCCCCTCTTGGACAGCCTGGCAAGCTACCGAGAGTATCTCACCCACACGGCAAAGCCTGGCAAGCTCCCCGTGATATACTCGATATGCCAGACACAGTAACAACAAAAAGTTTCACAATGGAGACGTTACTGGGCCCGCTCGAGCAAATCGATGAACAACGGGAGGACAGTGACAGTGACTGAAAAGAACCCACGTATCAAAGGGCGCTCATACTCAACATAATAGAAATTAACTCAAGCATCTACTCTCTTACTACCAGAAAACAATTTCCCTCAAGTTTTCTATTTTTGTTAACAATACTGCCATTTCATCTACTTGACTAAACTCAAAATATAAAAATTATCTTAGAGTTTACCAGTGTTCATGAAAACTAATTGACTATTGATACTTACTGCTCTTAATACCTTAGATTAATTTATCCTACCTCACACTTCACCTTCTTTAGTCCCTTGAATTTTATTTGCCTTGGAGACATTCTCCACGATCGTCCTTTTATACTTTCATGAGACACCCACTTCTCATTTTAATGAAATCTTTGTGTGATTAGTCACCGAGGGTTTGCTGTCTTTATTATCCAACACTGCTTGTGAGAACTTGAGTGCAGGAAACTGGGGCCTCTCAGAGCTTAGGAAACTGACCCACCCATTCTTTGCCATTAGTTTTTTGTATATTATAAAAAGTAAGTAAATGTCCAAATAAAGTTACAAAAATGACACAAGATGTCCAAATAAAGTTACAAAAACTATGTTTTGATTTACCTAGTCAGCTCATAAAACGAGTCCGAGCAGCACAAAATCATTATCACAGTCCTTCCTAAATGTGCTGCAAGCCAGGTAGTTCTCCTGATCCACGTCCAGGACAGCCTGACACTTCTCTGCTGCCTGCTGCCTGGCACATTTCATGTATTTATATGTGACAGAGAGGCTATGGGAAGTATGAGACTTCTGAAAAATGTATGAGAGGATTGGAGTGGGGGAGAGAAAGGTGCCCTTGTTTCCTACCTTAGTTATAGAACTTCTGTGTCTTCCACTCTTAGATCTTAAACAATCTGCTGGTTCCAATCCTTGTCTGCGGAAAGGACCCAAACAAAAATAAATCAAAACACGGTTGTTAGGGAGCAAAATAGGCCACCCCAGAATACGGCACCTTGGCGTGTGGATTATTTTAAGCTGAAAAACGGCATTCAAAAATATTAGACAAACGGGCTGGAGTGGTAGCACAGTAGGTAGGGCATTTGCCTTGCACGTGGCTGACCCGGGTTCAATTCCCAGCATTCCATATGGTCCCCCGAGCACCACTAGGAGTAATTCCTGAGAGCAGAACCAGGAGTAAAAAAATAAGAAGTTAGAAAAACCTTCACCCATTTTCTTAAATGCTTCAGAGATTCAGAGCATATGGTTTCAGAGATAGAAACCATAGGTAAGTAAGTGGGCTGGAGCGATAGCACAACGGTAAGGCGTTTGCCTTGCACGTGGCCAACATGGCAAACCCAAGTTCGATTCCTCCGCCCCTCTCGGAGAGCCTGGCAAGCTACCGAGAGTATCTCGCCCGCTCGGCAAAGCCTGGCAAGTTACC